TCCAAAAGCGCTTTTACCTCTTGATTATAGTTTTTATACATTTTCGAGCAAAAATGTATTAATGTGAGTGGAACGAGATCATTCAAAAGCCGGCAATCTCCGCCTTCTGCGTGCGTTCGAGGCAGCATCACCTCATCTTACTTGATAATGTTGCAAAGATGAAAAAAATTAACGTTTAATCGTTTGTCTCAAGAGGACAATATTTTAAACAGTCCTCGCATAAAGATACAACTTGGAAACTCTACGCACAGCCATAAATATATTCTATCATTTGCTACTAAAGGCAGAGAAGAACTCTATTGACTTTCTTCATTTTACCGCCCTGCCCTTTCATCATTTCACTGACTTGAACTAAGTTCCTTGCAAGAAACTTTAAAAGTCAAAATCAAACAAGATTAATTTTCAATCCTCTGATATGAGCCATACTTTCTAGCTCCTACACATAATACTCGAGTCGAAGAAGGTAAGCATTTAAATTGATAAATTATTGAAAGTTTTTTTGTTTTTGTTACTGAGTTCTAACAATTTTTATATTGTTATGAATCATTCAAAATCTCTCACATTTAGGCAAGTTGATGGAAACAGCATTTTACGTACTCGCAGTAATGATCCATTGATCAAAACCCCTTTATTTTATTTAATGGCTATAATAGACACGATTAAATATCCGACCTCCATTCCTTGTTTCCCTGAACCAACTTTCTTAAAAAAAATAACTGCTTTGCTCCTTTGGCTGCTTTCATTGATAAAGTTCTATCTTAGATTGCTTACATGAGGTAAATGTGCTTCAACAGATGCAAAGAAAAAAGGAGGACAAAACTGTTTTTCCTTGGCCCTTAATTCTCTTGATGGCTCGTGGGATGTTTTGTAAATCATATTAATGTTAAAAACGGCAGAAACATTTGAATCTTTAATCCACTGTTAAGGAATTAAAGCATACGTAGGTTTTACACTCATCAAAAAGCATAAATAATCGATGTGTTTTTTTCCTTGGGATGACTCTTAAAAATTCAAAGTAGTACTAAACTGCTTTTTTTTCTCCCTCTGTGAAAATACAATACGGAGTGAGGTGAGGCAGGCCATCAGTGAGTACTTTGCCAAAAGAAGTAGTCCTCAGGCTGCAACCGAGTGGGTATCAATGAAGTAATTTTCAAGTGATACCTCGCAGCGAATGAAGTCGCTCTCTTGATACTCGTAGCATCTGCGCAATGTGATTCCAGGTGCACCGTAGGCTTCTAAGATTTTCAAGAAGTTCCTCTGCAATGATGAACTTTGGTCTTCCAGGTTGCGATATGTGTGCAACGCTATTCGATCCTAAATCGACAAGACTGACTGTTCTCCTACCTATTCAGTCATCCTCTCAAACCAGAACTGATGTATTTCAGAAAAACACTCACAGAGCTGCAGTAAAATGTTTGTACAACATAGATCCTCACTCTGATCAAGGACACTTCGCAGAACGGAGAGTACCCGGTCAAGACAATTGAAATGCAGCGCCGCTGAGTAGAACTCTAAGTTTATGATTGTGGCGCTGTGTTCGCACCTATCCAGTAGATTTTCAGCAAATATAAAAAAATCATTCCAAGTAGTTGCATCTAGTGTTGCATCTAGGTCTAGATTTGTCGCCATTTTCAGACAGAACGTAATGATTTTGCATAATGGCGGGAAGCTTTGTGACCGTTCCATACTTTGTGGCCATGCCTCCTTGGGTCATGTGACTTTATGGAAAATATTTTTTTATCAAATAAAAAAAACTCAAATAAATATATTTTTTATAGAATGACGAAAGAGCACAGAAACAGTTTTAGCACACAAATAAATTTTTATCACATGAAAATAATTTCAATAAAAATATGTCATCCAATAAAAATACCTTTAGTGAATAAAAATATGTCATTTATAAAATGAAAATATATTTCGTCAAATTTTGCTACTTGTCGGCAACCATAGTATAGGAACACAATAAATTATGCTCAGGAAATTCGTGAGAAATAAGGAACTTTTGCTTCAAATAATATTCTACGACACTTAAGTTCTGTTATTATCTTTTTCACAAGTTAGACAGATCGGAGTGTCTCATTCATTTTGATCAATTATTAATCGGTGTTTTTCTGCAAGCTCGATCTGTTAAGGGACAAACTTTCAAAACGTGTTCCCTTCTCCGAAATAAAAAAAAAGGATCGATCTAGTGCTTTTGGCCAAAGGAAGACCAATCAAATCCCTATGCCTGGTAATATATGTATGACATTTCTTAGCTTGAGTAAAATCACTCCATAGCCAGGAAGGTGCTAAGCAGTTCATGGATTTGATAACCAGGATGCATTTAAGACAGTCTCTACGAGACTGAAGGCCAGGCCAACCAAGAATACGAACAATATCTGCTTCACTCACAGCCCTATTTAAGATATATGATACTCGCCGCACGCCCATTAAACTTATCAAGATACTATTTAGATATAGCCCCACAACTATCCCATGAAACTGAGCAATAGTCAGAAAGGGGGAGTATAATTGCGTTGTACAAAATGATACAGGATCACTAAGGCAAGATCTTTCGTGCTCTTCGCAACATTCCTAATCTAGACGATATCTTCTTTCCCAAGTAATTAATGTGGGACTTCCAAGAAAGTGTTGGGTCCATATTTAAAATTTTCTAATCTTTGTAAGTCTCAGCTGAGCCGTTAGATGATATAGAGAACGACTTAGAGGCAAGGCTTTGATGGGTACCAACAAGCATTATTTTAGATTTGGTGGAGTTGAGTATTAGGTAATTAGCACTAAGCCACTGAGTAACACTATCTAAATCAGATCACAGATTGGACTCGATGATGTTAAGCTCGTCACTAGCAAAGTAAAGAAGCGTATCATCAGCATGCAGCTTAACATTGGAATATCTATAAAGAGCAAGGGCCCTAGAGCGCTACCCTGGGGACTCCAAAATCAATTTTTTGAAGCTCTAAAATTATTGCATTAACACAAACAATTTGAGAACGATTGGTTAAGTACGAGATCGTCAACCATTGGTTCGGGATAGGTCGGGATATCGGCGCTTTTTCAGTTTTTTATACATTTTTTAACAAAGATCCATTAATGTGAATGGGACGATCCCCGCGAAATTAATGCAGACATAGCAAAAAGGAAAAGACTCACGGCAAACGAAAACACCTAAGGCAAAAAGAAAAAGACTCAGGGAAAAAGATATAAACCCTGACGGCAAAAGAAATACCAATGTTCTCACGGCATAAAAGAAAGCACAGGGGTTTGGACGAGTTATCGAAGATGTTTCTTTTGCCGTGCTGGCTTTCTCTTTTTGCCGTGAGGCTCTCTCTTTCGCCGTGAAGCTTTTCCCTTTTGGCGCGAGGCTTTTTCTTTTGTCGTGAGGTCAATATTTTACCGCATATACAGCAAAAAATCGTCATCCAAGGACATACTTTCTTTGCAAGAGTCACAATAAAGGTCAATTTCGTAGCCTGCCTTTTTGAAATACAGTGTTATGCACAATCAGTATCTGACCCTCAAATTAATTTTAAATTTTCTTTTGCCGCGAGTTAAATTTATTTTACCCCGAGTTATTTTATTTTGCAATCCGTTTTCCAAATTCCACATGAAAGCGAAAAACCAAAATTGAAATCCAATTTGTTTCTTTACAGCGCAGCGAAAAACAAAAACGAGAAACGAAAAACCGTTGGCACTAAGGTACACGCATTAAATTCGATTTTTATTTTCCTACGCAATTGGAAAATGGTTGGCACTATGGTACACGCATTGAAAATAAAGTTTGATTTTCATTTTCTTACCCAATTGAAAAACGGTTGAAACTAGGGTACACGCATTCCCGAGGTCTTGGATATCAAGACAAAAATCTCAAGGAAAGTTGAATAGTAAGTGAATGCAAATGTGTGTTTTTGAGCAGCCAGTCTGCTTGTTTGTTTTCAGCAATGGTGTGTGTAAATCTGTCTTCCTTCCACCGAAAAGCTAAAGTCAATGAAACTCTTTCCAGCTAGACACAATAGATCAAATGCGACTTTTATTCATCGAGTTCCTTCGGTTTCTGTTATGAAATTTAGTGGAGAAATGTCTAAATTCAAGCGACTTGCAAAGAAAAGGCGAAAGTATATTTATAGAAAAACTGAACACTTTGCTCAAAGTTTCACAAAAGAACAAATTTTGTTGAAGAATTCTGATATTAACGAAAGAGAGTCACTTTCATTGACGTCATTTTTAACTGCAACTACCTCTCGTTTTAACTTTTTGAGTTACTTCTTGTGAAGGGTTCATAGATAACAAATTGTTTTTAGGCCGTGTTTCAAAATCAAATTTAGAAGCGCAAAATGTTTCTGGAAATCAATTTTTTGCGGATGTTTCATGATGGAGTTGATCTAGATTAATTGATCTCAAAATTTCAACAGCTGCATGTTGATGGCCCTGCCTGTTTTTATTATAACTCGTCTAGACAATGTCAAAACGAGCAAACTTCTTCTAAAATTAGGGTTCGCTTTATTTCAAATTTCAACGAGCTATACTTGCCGAAAAAAAAAATTAAATTTCGTCCTAGTTAGGCTCGCGTTAAATGTTCACGTTAGAGTTTAGTTCTAAGCTCTACTGATGAGCTGAAATAGGATATTTAAAATGTTGAATAACCTTTCCTTATAGGCCGATTTGGGCATCTTCAAATACTGCGTGAAACGAATTGTCCTTAACAATTGATTTGAAAGCGGAAAGTTTTCAACTTTTCTGTAGATGTATGAACAAAAATCATAATACAAGAACCAACTGAATTCAGACTGATCGTACCAGCACCCATTTTAAATCCTGGATAGAGAAAGGCAGAGCTTTCGATCTGAAATCGAAGGAAATGACCGAAGTGCAACCGCGTCTCCCGCCAAAAGAAACCAAAGAAGCAACCAAGAAAATTTCAACCATGTTAGATTAAACCTGCCATGAAGAATGAACAAAATCCTTCATCTAACTCACACTGTAAAATGTTAAAGTAAACTCACCATGGTTTGCAAATGTAAAGGCATAAAACCAGCCTCCCATCAAAAGAAACAGAAATAGGAGAGAAAGCATCGGAAATCGACGACGCCTCATCTTCAGATTCTTACGGAAAAGGAAGTTTCGCGATTATTAAAATAGTTCTCATCATGATTAAATATTAACAAGGAGTTTTCTCAATCTTTCTGTTTACAGAGCTCCTGTCACGTTTTTCAGGCACGAAACTGTTCAGTAATTGGTTTCTCTTTTTGGCTTAACTCTCTAGCTCATTCTGTATAAGTTGCGTCCTTTGTATTTTAGGTTGAAGTCAAAACAATTCAATATTTTTATAACTTGTAGCAAATTGATAAAAACGCATCAAATTCAAATTTAAGTCAAAGTTCATAATACTTTGTCATGCTAATACAAGTGAATGAAGTTACAGAAAATACAAAAAGTGCATGGCTGGAGAACAATTTGGGGAAACTGAATTCCCATAAAGAGAATATTCTCCAACATTAAACATACTAAAAATTAAGAAGTAAAATTTAAATGCGGCCCAAAATTCACTTAATTTAATTGCATACTAAAATTAACGCTAAAAAAGGTAAGAAGTAAAATTTAGATAAGGCTTAAAGCTAACCTAATCAAATTGCATACTTGTCATTCACTAGTTGTACCTGATTTGAAATTGACAAAGATGATCCAACTCATTAGATAGGACTTTAAAATGCTTAGTGAAGGTGCAAGCATAATGTTCGATGGAATACTATTCCAGTTTAAACTAATTTGCAACTGTCTTTGTTTTAGGTCTTATCATAGAATTATAGTTCTTGCGCGTTTTCGCTAATACATTAGAATAAAAAAGCATACGAGGTAATAATCTTGTACATCTGCACCAAGCAGATAAACTTCCTTCGTAACTCAAGCGAAGGCCATTTCAGGACCTCAGGTCTGTCCTGATATTCTTCCTCTGATCCGCAAATGGCTCGAGTGGCTCACCTCTGTATCGACTCCATAGTTTTGCTGTGCTTCACTAAATACGGATTCCAGACCTAACGACCAGGTTCCAAATTTTGGGCGCACTAACGTCTCCGATATGCTGTCGAAACTCCTTAAGAATTGTTTGGAGCAAAGGTTCGCCTTATTAAAGCTAGAACCTTGTTACCTTAAGCACAGATATAGTTTATATGGTAATACCAAGACAGGCAAGACTCCAGCCAGACACCAAGGTACTTGTGGTGATCGACTGATGATAAGGGTTTGTCAGGCAACCACTACTCATGATGATATGGATCCTAGGATCTTGATAGGTGTAGGACCTTGGACTTTTTGGACTTCAAAGTAACAAACCAGGAGTTACACCAGTCATAGGCACTATATACGGAGGTGAGTTTGAAGATCATTACATTGGTGAGATGTTTCGTTTCTCATGACCACATTTGGCATTTGGAAGTCAAGACTAACATTTTATCAGCATCTAGTGTGGAATGACTAAACAGTCAATCCTTGGAAGTTCGAAAGAAATCATGTATCAGATATATTTGTTTAGGGGCTTTCCAATGTCCAAAGTTGAAGCAAACTCCTCGATTGATTCGGTTTAATCACAACGAGGAAACAGATCTACAGGATAAATCACAAAATCCATACACTAAGTAACGCGAACTATAAAGCTAAACGAAACACAATATAATAGACTTACGATAATAAGTTCAATTCGCAAGATATTTGTTGATGTTCATGAGTTCGAGTTTCCGAAACGATCTCGCTGACTAGCACAGGTCAGCGGTCCTGACGAGTCCTCAGTATGTGGCCAGCGGTAGTCCCTTCAAAAGTAATAATTTATGTACGACTTAGCTAAAGCGCGTTTAAAAATGGAAAAAGTGTAGTCAAGAGATGTCATGAGTTTTATGGAAAATTGGTTGCCTCTGACTGTTGTTATCTCTGAAAGAGACGTTTTGACTAATGCTTAAGCCTTCATCAGTGATATGAAAAAACGAAGATCGTTATCATACGCCATTTAAAGTTAAAAACGTGACGCGAAGCTTGCGCGCGTAACTATGTATTCGATGCTCGCGCGAGATCTTTATAGGCCTCTGGAAGTGCGATGTCATCGTTCCCAGCATTCGGAATTAAAGTAGAGTGCCAGGCTTCAAGTAAAAGTCTCTCGTGGTAATTAGTTTCGAAACCAACGACCCTGGCCTTTGTAAAATCCACGTTATGTTATGTTATAGCTAAAGCGCTTTGGAATGTTTCTCAGCAAGAGTGGAAAGGACTTCTTCCATCTCCATTTGAAAACTTCCTTTCTGGCTGTAGCTTATGTACATCAATTCATACGAGATTTCAGATATACTTCCGCTTTGTTACGTCACGCAGTGCATTTCCGTAGCAGCTTTTCATTTTTGTTGCACAGAAGTTATGTCTACAACTTTATTCTTTATGTTCACGCTTTGAGGGCACGAAGCATCGATACTGCTGTCTTGATTGCCTTGTTCCTTAGCCGCTTCTATAGCTGTGAATCATTATTTTACCTGATTGCCACTAGGACTTATAATCTAGCTTGCATCGGACAATTGAATAACACACTTGGCCCCCTCCCCCCTTCCCCTCTCCTTTCTGCCCTCCCCCCTCTGGGCTTCGCCTGCACTGCTGCATGCTCGTAATTAAACTGATTGAACCGAGTAGAATAACTCTCAGCTAGTGCTGCTTCTGATCAAGCCACGAGGCTCAATATCCAAGTGCATCAGATTAAACGGATTGATATCAGTTAGGCCATGCTCTTTTATGCGCTCTGTTTAGTGTCAGCCGACCGACCCAAATTTTTTGCATTAATAAAAAGTAAAATTGAAATAATATTGAACCATTTTCTCCTTTGAATAATTCTTTTAATCTGAAAATAAGCATAGTGACAGCATAGAGAAAAGCTGGAACAAAATCAGGAATATTTAATATTTATTATATATATATATATACATCTTTTAATTCAATTATAAAAAACCTGGAACTTTTGAAACGAAAATCAGAATAGTCACGTGAACTCATGTGCAAATAAATTCATTGATAAACAGAGAAAAAATATTTTAGAGTCTTACATGTAACTAAACATTTTTCATTGTCACTGAAAGGAACACAAAAAGCGAGAGCTCGTGTACCTTTTTTGTCTTCGTTATTATTGTTTGTTTTGTATTTGTATTTTTGTTTTGCTTTCTTTTTTTTTTTTTTTTTTTTTTTTTTTTTTTTTTTTTTTCAGGTAGACCCCTCAGTAAAGGACTAAGTGAAAAAGCGAACCGAATTTCTAGGATTAGAAGAAATCTTCAAACCACTTACTAAGCACATACGACCCTGCTAACAAGGCAATTATACCCATGTTGCTTGGTTTCTACATGAATTTTTATTCACAATTCTCTCAGGTACACACACACACCAGAGAGCATACTAACAGACGATCTGTAACTATTAAATACACATGAGCACAGGAAGGGAGTAAGGGCTGGGGGGAGGTTCGTTCAGTGTGAACCTACCGGACCAAATATTTGGCTTTTTAACAAAAAAAAAAGCAACGTTTAAGTAATGTTAAACCATTTTCCCCTTTTAATAATTCTTTTAATCTGAAAATGAGCACAGTAACAGCATAGAAAAAAAAAGAAACAAAATCAGGAATATGTTTTTACTGTATATGTACATTTTGTTAATCCAAATATAAAAAAATATCAACTTCTTTTGACTTCTGGCCTCCTATTCAGAGACTTCCTGCGATTTTTCTTAAGTTATTTTTTATCCGACAGGGCTGCCCAATATCAGGAAACGCATTTGACGCTGAACGAAAAAATAAATGGGGTGGGGGGGGGATGGCCTCACTGGACCGGGACGCCCGATTAAACTGAGCAAAATGATTCTCCAAAACTTGAAAGTAAGTTTTATTCCGTTTAATAATTTTATTACTGACCCCATTGAATCAAACACGTACATAAAGAGGAAGAAGAAATTTAGATCTCTATAAAACCTAAGTTACTGATTTGTTTTCTGATCTTAAAGCAGCGTTTTTTAAAGAACTTACGACTCCTTGCGAATGAGTCTTGAATTTTTTATTTTTTTATTTATTTTTTTTTTTACTTTGCAACCTTTTGAAAATTTCTTCGTTTTGCCACACAAATCACTTAACTGATGTTTCCTGGAGAAAAAGATTTTTTTTCTCTACGTTTCCCATTAGGAAAAGGGCTGTCTTTTCGATTTTTTTTTTTCTTTTTTTTTTACTTTGCAACCTTTTGAAAATTTCTTCGTTTTGCTATACAAATCACTTAACGGCTGTTCCCCAGAGAAACAGATAATTTTTTCCCCTAGGCTTCGCATTAGGAAAAGGGCTGTTTACCTTGGGATCAGTCCTCGAGTATTTATTAATATTCGCAAAGTACATTTACGCTAATTATGTATTCAAAACCGCACTAGGACCATATGTGTAACAAAAATAAGCCCGGCGAGGGTAGCCAGCGGCCAGCCGACCAGGGGAGCCAACTGGTTTGTTTGTCGACTGCAGGCCGCTGGCTACCCTCGCTGGGATTATTTTTGTTACCCGACATATTGTGCGATCGGCGAACGAGTCCACAACTGTTTCAACGAGCCAAATTCGAAATTGGAAAGCCGATCGATCTGGAGATAAAAGCATCGCTAGTGAAAGATCTGTGGGAGGAATTGGGAATCAAGTGAATGGAAATGGAACTGCAACATCTCTGCTTTGATTATCTGGAAGAATCGAGACTAGTGGTAATTTTTTGGCGGAATTAATCGCTTCGGGCGACGGACACTTCTAAAATAGGTTTCCGGCCTTGTCTTTTTTTTTTTAGCAGTTGAACACCAAAATAGCGCTAATTCGCCGAAAACGCTTCAAAATGGCCTGAGACGCTGGTAATCAACAAAGAAAACACCACGGCAATAAGGTAAATCCATTTTATTTCAAAACAAGGCATTTTTTACTCTCCTTTAAGGCAAACCGATAACATCCCATACAAACCTTTATAAATATAAAACGTTGCGCAACACTGTAAGAGTCACGTCCGCTTTTCTAGTAGTGTGCTTGGCCTGCCTGTGGTCTTGTTGGCTAACAATTACGCACTCTACTGTTTCACTTGTTTAATCAGTCTGCGCTGAGGGTTTTTCCAGCAAACGGTCGATGGTTCATTATTGGTGTTTTTCTTTTACAGTAAGGCTATGATCACCTGACCATGGCCAGATGATCGATAGCAACATTCGTTTTGTTGATTTTTACCAGCATTATAAGATCCTCCACCGCCTCCGCAAGAATCCCTAATAAATTTCCCACTGCTTCCTCCAGAGTAGCCTCCTCCTCCTCCACCACCTCCTCCATATCCATCAGCACCTGCACCTCCACCAAATCCACCAGAAATGTTGTGCTGCCTGGCTCTACCTCCCACCACTCCCTGGAGAAATCCTTTTCCACCCTCTCCACCATATCCCCCGGTACCACCAAACTGTTTTGAACTTCTGCCGCTGGAGTAGAAACCTCCGCCGCCGCCACCTGTCAGTGATGGTAATAACAAGAACAATAATTGCTTACGTCCGCTTTATATTTGACTCATTTAGCAAATTATTGCTCAGGCAGATTTGATCAGTGAATATAATTTTTTCTCAAACTAATGAACAGCTCTACGTCAAGGATTGAAGAAAGGGGATGCTTAAGGGCTATAGCTGTTTTTGGACGTCAATTGATGGATTTAAATACCCATGTAGGAATTAAGACTAGTAGTGGTTGGTAACTGGTGGTTGGACTATTAAAAACAGAAGAAGTTGTCTTTATATAAGGAGAGGTAAGGAAAAAAATGAAAAATGTAATACAGTTCAATGTCCTTCAAGTCTGTTAAATCTATAGCACAGTCCAATGGATAGATAGCTAATTACCATAGAATATATGTTATAATCTCAAGTGTATTTTTTGACGAGCACAAATGCTCCCAAATGTTGCGTGGTTAAATAAGATACTTACCTACTTACTTATCATATTACTAATGTAATTATGCAACAAATGCAGGAAGTAGGAGTTTTATGAGGGGGACCCCATACCTCCCGGGGATTTTATTTTCACACATTTGTCAGTGCAAGATACTTGACATTGGTGCCAAGTGTAATTGAAGTCGGTGATTTGAGCATTATAGACTCCGCTCGGTTTTCTCCTAGATACGCTTTTAAAGGAACTCACTAACCGGAGTAATCACTATCACCAGCTTTTGCACCATGTCCATTGCTCCCCCCTGACCATGAGTTGTACCCAGGATTCCCAGACGAGCCAGTACTGGCATCACATCCTGGATGCCTTGAGCTTGCAGTCGCTAGGCCTCCTCCACCTCCGGCTATGATCAAAGGTCTGTTACTTCCCCTCGCGACAAATGTACCTCCACCACCGCCAGAAGAAGTAGACTGCGAATTAATTCCTCCTTCTTGACCAACTAGAATCTGAATGACTTCACCCTTGTTTAAGCTGAATGTTCCAATCATTCTTGCTCCTCTTCCTCGGTACTGAGCACTGTTAGTATATGTATCATACCCTCCTGCAGCTCCAATTGCATCTATTCTGTAGTCACCGGTGTACGGCACAGTCCACTGTTGAATACCGCTGAGCAGTTTAACTTGTCCGTCATGATCCTGACCTGTGTAGTGGCTACCAAGCGAAGTTGGACCAAATCTTCCACTAGCACCGAGGCTTGTAAAAATGGCTCTAAACTCTACTTATCAAAGAGAGGGAAATGGTGAGACGGCATCAAAGTTTAGAAATAGATTACGCAAAAACAGGAAGTCTGACTAAATTTAAGTCCAAAAAATAGTGAAAATAGCTATATTAGGCAACGTTCTACGGCAGAGACCTCAGCCTCCTTGAAAGAAGATCAAGGGTAATATTGCAAACACAGAAACGTCAACTGTATATATTTTATAACAAGGATTAAACGTCACGGCTCGTGTCCTATCAACGATATCTATTGGTTTATTGCGGAAACATTTATATCAGTGGCATAGGGAGAGGGACATCGAAATTCTTCTTGTTGAAATACAATACCTCCGTGGCGCTTTTGAACAGCGCTGTAATGCCAAAAAGTGGTTTATGCTTTTGTTTTCATCTACGCTTGGGAAAACACACGCGAGAGGCGAGGGAGGTGCGGGGGGATTTCAATGTTTACTAACAGAGTGAGAAAAGTGAACAAGTAATAATCACAGAGAAATCAGGTGTTGATTTCAAATTTCCCTCGAAATGTCAATTGACTTGTGAAGCACAAGATCGTAAGGTATGATCAAAATGTCCACAAACCTTTGATATGAATTAGGGTTGTCAAAACACTAGCAGATCCCAGTTTGTTGGCAGCTTTGCACTGATAGTCACCGGTATCTTGAGGGCTAAATCTGGTGATCATAAGAGTGCCGTTTATAACAGAGGATCGCCCTTGTGGTAATGAAGAAAATGCCTTCGACCATCGAATTGTCGGAGGAGGAAAGCCAAAGGCTTGGCAGGCAACAGTAACTGCTTCGTTTCCTTTGATTCTCATGATTCGATCCGGGATCCTAGTAAAATGCGGTGGCACTACAGAATCAAAATAATGAAAATCAAAGACTTTTACTTACCTACTTTGATAAAGGACGCTTGTAGGAAATTTCAACTTTAAACCCTCAGGGAGACCAGTCCGAGCAGGAGCTGTTTTTAATTCTTAATTCCCTAGCCCTAAACAAGTCTGAGGGAAAGCACACGGCATAAGAGATATCTGTTAGATATAATGTTAAAAAAAGCTTGGTTTAATGTGGCCTTTACCAAAGTGATGATTTCGCATGATCTATGTGCCGCTATTGGGTCTTTCAAGCCAGTCTTTAATTTGTAAACCATGTTCACTCGCGCTTGTGCTAAAAACCGTTGGAACTGTTTCAATGTATTTTTGATGAAAGTGTTGAACTCTGGGTAGAGGAAAATACGAAATTTTTTCGGAGACTTCTGTCATTTCACGAGGTAGTAGTCAAAATGCAGCTTAGATTAATCTTTTTTAAAAAGTTAAAAAAATAACAATAAAGAAATGCAACCATCTTACCTTCCACAAAAAGCCTTACGACTTTTTGAACTTTTCCCAGTATACTTGTAGCTGTGCAAACATAATTTCCTGAGTCGTTAAAGGCGGTTGTTCTTATTTGCAACAAACTATCTCGACCGTTAGAAGATTCCAATCCAAAGCCATCTATTCTACTCCAGGACACTCTAGGCTTGGGATTGCCATCTGCCGCGCAGCCAAACCTGGCGGTCTGGTTCTGAGTGACCGTAAGTGAAGTAGGAGATACAGTGACTGTTGGTAAAGATATGGACTGGCCTGGTTGACCTTTAGATCCCGGATGCCCTGGAATTCCCACATTACCTTAAGTAGATCAAACAAGAATGAGGACATTAAAAAAATACTCTTTCAGAATGGATTCCTTTAAAATCAAAACCAACATATATGTACTTAAAACTATTGTGAGAACGACAACTACCACTAGAGAAAAAATAGCTCTACTGCCTATGCCCAATTACCATCAATATCATTTTTTCATTATTGTCGCTTGTTTTTTTGTTTTGTTCATTAGCGATTGTTGTCATTTTATTTTTTATTTTTTACCAATTCGAAGCGGAGGAAGAAACAAACATATATTTCAGAGGTTTTTATTCAATATTTTTCATTTTCTGCACATTTTAGACAAATATATTTTTTGATATTTTACATTCGTTTCGCTTACACTGTTTTGTTCACCTACATTACATACATACACACAAACTGGCATATAAATAATCGTACACTCTTTAGATCTTAAGAGAAACTAAGCATATGGTAGGAGCTTAGTTTCAGTACGCACAGTAATTAGTAGGAATGATATAAATAATAACTGATAATAATGATAAAATCAATACGTATATTCGTATTTTAAAAAAAATAATAATATTAGCACCTCCGCCAATGTAATCTATTACATAACTTGCACTTATTGCAAAAAGATATACATCGGCGAAACAGGCAGAAGACAAGGTGACCGATTCCGAGA